TATTTTTGGTTCGTCGCTTTTTCTGTCTCCGCCTTCATTTCCACCTTTACCACGCATGCGCCATCATTCGGTTTGGTGGTCGCACAAGTCTTTGGGGGTCGTCACTGATGAAGGCCCTGTAGTCTTCTTCGTTGTCCTTTAATTCACCTTTGGGTTACACATGCGCACCAAGCCAGTACAATGTAAGCCAAGACTAACGTATCACTGCATCTACATATCAAGGCAATAAATCCCTTATAATTAGCATTTTCTTGGGACCCAACCGGGTTCTTGCTCATTTTTAGCAACTGTATCTTCAGCTTCTTTCTTGTGGTCCTTGAGGACATCTGCCGGGAGGGGAGGTGGTGGAGCTCCTCCTCTCCCTCTCTTCTTTGGCATTACAACTTTTAACTATTAACTATTTTATTATTCTCAAATATTAATTACTGTATCAATATTGATTACTGTTTCAATTTTTATCAGCATGAGTCATACCTATTTATCACAAATCCCCCATTTCTCTTTTTGATCATTATGATTTGTGCTGGTTTTAAAAAGCTGTGCCCTGATATCTTTTATATTTTTCAGAATTTTGATTTTCTCATTGTCTCTTTTCAGCTTCAAACTTTTCCAGCATTTCTATTACTGCTTCTAGTCTTTCACACTCTCTTTCAAGTTTAGTTAGCATTTCCTGGTCTATTTCAACCTTTTTAGGTCCTTGTTCTTTAACAGGCATCTGTTTAGCTTTTAATACCATTAGAGATCTTGGTTTTCCTTTTTTTGCTGATTCTGAATCTAGAGACATTGTTGTAATCTGCATCCCCTGAACCGCTGAATGAATTAACCTAATAAAACACAAAATCATACAAGGCAGAAACAGAAGTCTCAGAATTGAGCATAACAACATTAACTTTTCCCTCCAAACACTTCCAAAGAGGTTACCCTACCAATCTGCTTTCAAGATTGAATTCCACTTTTGTACCGACACATGAGCCAGCCTTTTAATTTCTTCTGCAAGTTCTGTGATAGCTTCCCCATAATCATCAATTTCTACACAGCACTCAGATTTATTATATCTCCCCCAAACTCCTCCTTCTTTTGCCAACAGATCCTCTAGGGCGATCCTGTTTTGGTACACAAACGCCCGCATTTGTGTATATTGCCTGGCCAACATTTTTAAGGCACCAAAGGTGTGATTTGACACCACCTCCACTACTGCTTGGAGCCTTATTAATCGATTCAACAGGTAAATTGGGGTCCTATATCTCCATGACCCATCCTGAGCCCATGTTGCGGGGTCATAATTTGCTATAATTTGTTCTGCAGGCCATTCGTCCTCCCCCCATTTTTGATTCCCTCCTGCTGTTGGAAAATTTAAATTCAAATCTCCTTTATTCCAATGCAGGGTTTCATACAGTGGAGTTCCTAGCACATTGCTCCCAGACCTCAGTAGAACAAAGAAGGAGAGTTGTATTACTCCCAAAATACAGGTTCTTCCCCATTTTTGAGGTAACTCACTGTATACTCGTTGCTCACAAAACCAGTATATCCCATCTGAGGCTTTCCATTTCTTATCAGTTTTCTCCAGTTGCTCCCAATAATACCTCAGGCCAATGATGGATTGGTAGGGGTTAGCTCTAGGACTTCTGTACCAGCATAAATTAATCTGTTCATCCCATTTACAATTTATTTCTCGAGTTATACAAATTATTCTAATTAGTTGATGGCTTAAAATCCATCCTTCAGGTCTCTTCAATGTTCCAGAAATTTGGGTGTGGTTCCACTTTAAAAATTGCTCTGGAGCTAAGCTCTCACCTTTCCACGGCCATCTTTCAGCCATTTTTAGACCTCCACAAATCCAACATTTGGATAATCCCAATTCCGTAGCAATCTCCTGCATCAATCCCACAAACAGATTCTTATTCGAGGCTGGCAAATCCCAATCTTTGTAATACTGTTTTAGCTGTTTATACAATTCAGCCAATTCTGTTGACTCTTTTCTCCTGTTCTTTCCTCTATTCCCCTTTCTTTTTCTTCTTTTATTTTCTCTTTTAATTTTTCTTTTAGTGCCCGGCCTCCTAAGCCTATACTTGGATCCTTTCCATTATCATCTCTTTCAAAACCAAAGAACCTTTCATAGTGACGGCCAATCTGATTACCAGGGGGAGAAGTCCATTATATCCCAAATTTTTCCCTACCCAGTACATCTTTCCTTCCTTAATACAAACATCTATAACACTGCTGCAATTGTAGCAGGCAGAACTAACATACAGGTGTGTCACAAACACAGATTCCATCTTGTCCTTAATTCACACAGAGTGATTGCAATAGCCACAAATGTTGAAATTGCTGGCACTTGGGTTTTGCCTTGTTTGCTTTTTCATTGCCAAAACTCAGTCCAGTGTGGCTCTCTGGCTTTGGCCAACTGCCCAGGGTACCAGAATGATCACAGTGCAAATAATCCTTAGGAAATCTGCCTTTCTACCTTTCTCAAGGCCCCTTGGGTTGCAACCAAGGGCCCGAGATGCCAGTCTTCTCGGTAGCAAAGGTAATATCCTGGGATCTAGTCACTGGTGCTTTTGGTTTCCTTGGTACCCATAGCCCCACAGAGTTTGCTTGTCTCCTTTTAAATGCCATTTCCGAGTTCTAGCTGGTTAAGAAGAAATCATTAAAACAAAAAGAACAGGGAAAAGATTAGGCCAGAATACCATACACTTATATTTTCCAAAATTTCAGGGATGTGCCAACCACAATAAGATTTTTCTAATTATTTTCTGCTTCAAGGGCGGGGAGTTCATTAAGTTGCCGCCTCCAATAGGCACACTTGCAACACCAATATGCCACTGCAATGTGCCTATTATGTGGTATATAAACTTCTTCTCCACAACAACTCAAATTGACCTAAGTTTTCTATTAATCTAATTGCTCCTGGAAGGGTCCCGTCTCCCAATCTCAAAGGTATCCAAAAAATCACAAGCAATGCGTTCTATAATTAGCTGACTAAATACATAACCATAGCAAAACAAGCAAATCAATTCTCTCCTTCTCTTCCCTCTTAGTTACACTCTACCATGAGTTAAAGCAAAGTGTGCAAACAATACATATCCAGGGATAACACCCTAAGCCATGTTTACCGCACTCCCAACGTTTTACTTGTCTCTGAGCTCTTTTAACAACAGGTGCTATCAATCTCAGTTTCTAAAATTGCAATTTTGTAATCAGTTCTAATAATGTTGTTGGTGGGTGACCCTGGAGGAGATCTTTGATCCTTTTAGGCCGTTCCCACTGATTCAAAAACTCTTTTATTCTTTTTCCACCGGCATTCTTCTGCCTCTGAGCTCAAGGGAATTGCGGTCCGTAGCCACTCCAGGATGCTTAGTTCCTTCTAAATAAATCAGGGTTAATATAAATCAACTTAAATCCCACCATATTATCACATTCTTGGAATTACATGTTCCAACAACATTTTAGCCATTGTTTGAGCTGTAGCCTGAGCTGCTGGAAATGTTTCAACTCACTGAGTTAATTGATCTATTATAACTAACAAATATTTTCAACAACCCACTGTAAGCAAGCCTACAAAATCAACCTGGATCTCTTCAAATAGCTTGTAGGCTGGGGGTTTTTTTGTCCTCCAGAGGGAGGGCTCTTTAACACTTTCTTATTTACCTTTTGACAGGTGAGACACCCCTGGGTAATTTGCTTTCTAATTTCAAATATCCTTATACACCCATAAAATTATAAAAAGTGATCACAAAAGGCTCTTGTACCCCAGTGCGTCGTCTATACAAGTTATCCAAGATCTAATGTGCCTACTGAGTGCTGTTCTTCCCTTGGGCTCTGTAAGCCTGCATTGGAATGACAAAAATGGGAATTCTTGCCTCAGTTGTCCTTCCTTGGGCCCAGGGAAGATTTTGGCAATGGCTCTAGAGCTCTTCCCAGAATGGGAGCGGTTTCTGACAAGCAGCCAGATGCTTCACCAGCACTGCCAACACTGCCAGCAGCATTCCAGTGCCACCAGCACCACCAGCATCCCTCTGCTGCTGGAGGGACGTTGACACCTCTGACAAGAAAAATAAGGAATGGTAGAGAGAAAGTGAATGGAGTATGGGAAATTTGGCAGGGAAGGAGTATTTCTAATGAGAAGGAAACGAGGAGCCACTTGCAAATTCTTCAGGTGGACTGTTGACAGAAGCCAATTCCTTTGCGGCAAAGAAAAAAAAATCAAGATAAACACCTCAGAGGGAGTGGAGCTGTGACATAGCCAAAGTTGTAAAACAACTTCCACCTGCCCTATCACCCCACCGAGCCTTGGGGAGCAACACCAGGACAGGGCACAGAGAGGAGCCAGCAGGACGGGAATGGGGAGCTCCTGGTGACCTGGGCACTTTCTCCTTCATGTCCCTGACCTGGCAGAAGCCACTTTAGGACATGGATCCCAAAGGAGCAAGAGGGACCAGGAAGCACCGCTGATCTGCACAGACCCCTTTGCCTGCTGCTGCCCCACAGGGAACAGGTCAGTGGAATGTTTGCCTTCCTCCCTACCCCACCTTCCTCTCCTGCAGCCGCTGCTCTGTTCCTGCCACCCTCTCCCGGTGACCGCAGGGCCATCCCCACGTCATCCATCCTCTGCCCTGAGCTTTTCTTTCTCATTCCCTGCCAAATAGCCACTGCCCTCCCACCTCACTCCTCCCCACTGAATCCTTCCCACTGCAGGGAGCTGCTGAGGAGCCACATGGTCCATCCCTGCATTCTCCAAGCACTCACTGCCCATCCACTCTGACCACAGCCAGGACCACATCCCACTGCCTGCCCAGCGTCCATCCACGGAGGTGACCACCGTGTCCCCATCTCCTGCCTCACCCACCGAAGGAGATGATCTGTGTGAGACAGATGCCACCAGCGTGGCCATACACAGTGTGACCCTGCTCATTGGCCTCTGTGGGCTGGCTGGGAATGGGGCTGTCATTGGCCTCCTCAGCCTGAGAAGCAGGAACTCTGACTTCTTTGACCTGGCTGTCATGGACTTCCTCTACCTCCTCTTTGCAGTCCCGTCTGCCCTCCTCATCCTGGTGAAGGATGTGTCCTGCTCTCATATCTTGCCCCTGCTGTACCTGAATTTCCTTTTCCAGCTGTCAGTGGTGTCCCCCTACTGGGGGCTGTTGTGGTTGATAGGTGGCAGTAATGTGCAGTGTGTGTACAAGCTCTGCTGGCTCTGCTGCCACTGGGAGCTTCCCGAGCGCCTGTTGTGGGTGCTGGGCACTGTCCAATACTGGGCCTTCTTTGCTGTCTTCACTGTCATTCCCACAGTGACATTCCTGTGCCCATCACAGCAGCAGGAGCACTGCCGGGCAGTTTTCATCGCCATGTACACCCTCATCCTGCTCTTCTTTGCTGCACCTGTGGCCATTTCTCACACAGTCGATTTCATCAAGTCCAAGCAGAGCTGCCAGCAGCAGAAGCCCAAGAGGCGCGACATCGTTATCGTCATCATTGCACTGTTCACTCTCCTCCTCAACCTCTTCAATTTCCTGCGGCAGCTCGGTTACATCACTGTGTCCTCACAAGTTGTTTTCCTCCTCACCTGCATCCACAGTAGCATCAAACCCTTCATCTACTTCTTGGTAGGGAGACTCTGGAGGCCCTGCTCCATGCAGTCCCTCCAGCTCTCCCTGCAGAGGGTCTTTGAGGAGCCGAAAGTAAAAACAGCCCGCAGAAATTCTCCTGCCATGGACACGGGGGTGTGAACCTGCTAATCCCTTCCACTGCTCTCCTCAAGGATCCCAGTAGGGCCCAAGGAGGCTGAAGGTTTCCTTGAGCCTCCTGATTAATAAATACCACCCACCGCATGGGGCTGTATTCCTGCACGAGAAGGGAGCAGGAACATTGCCTTGAGTGATTTTTGTGGGATGCTCTGCAGGGAGCACACTGCAGCATGGCTTTCCTCCTCCCTCCTAGATCCACATGGCTCCAAGCAGTGCAGCTGGGCTCAGTGCTGTTCCCCAGCTCTATTACCCATGCAATGACCCTCATGGCCTCAGTCCCAGGGAATGAACTCCATCTCATCTGGCTCAGCAGATGAGTTCCATGGTGCTTCCAGGGAGGTCTTGCCTGCAAAGAATGGGACACCTTAATCCCTGGGGACACACCCAGCACAGGGTGGCAGTGATTTCCCAAATCCCTGCAGGGCTGGTGCCTCTGGATGGCAGGAGAGGGTTGGGATCACAGGGAGCATCCTTCCCCTTCTGTCCAGCAGAGCCAGCCCTGCATTCCCAGC